AGTTCACGAACTCTATAAGGAGCTTGCAGATATCCTGCATTTGGATACCGGCACACGAATCACAGCAAGATGAAGGGAGACAGATTACAGGGTGATAACTGTGCACTGGAGTCAGCCTTTTAAATCCTTTCTGTCTTTTCCTTAAATTACAGATCCCCATTATAATGTCATTTTGCATTTCAAAGGTTCCTTTTATCTAAGAAATCAAATCTTTCCAAACCGTAACTGACAGGTGCAGCCATCTGTAGCTCAACTTCACAGGTGGACAAGACCTAGGGGACTATCCCGAAGAACATACAGGAAGCCAGTAACTATCAAGCCCGAGAGAAATTCACGGTTCTGCTGCTTTCTTATTGCTCCACAAAAACAAAATAACTCACTGATTTAGTCAGCATTTCATATTTTTAAGCTATTAATAATAATTTATTCTTCTACTCAAGTACTGTCTTCCACACGTGGAAGGTAGTCATCAGCACAGAACTACTGATGGTCACTTGCCGAGTCAGGATATGAACTAGACTTGTGCCCTGCACCGTGTTGAGACTTTTTCCCCCTTTTTAGTCAGCAATATGCTCAATGCCTTTAAAAAATGTATTTGTTCATTTACCAAATAATACACAAGGATATAAAATTTAAAAAGTCAGTCTCCATTCCTTGGCCTCCTACCCTTCTCCCAAAGGTACCCACTGTTACAGGGGTTTTGTGCAGGCTTCCAGGAAAACTGTGTACACCCCAGCCTGTGTGCACAGGGACTGCTCCAGGCCCAGCTTCCTACACTTCATGTGGGATCTTGGAGAGCTTTCCTCTCCATATCAGCCCATTGTATGCAGCTATTGTTTGGAGAGATCATCATAATTTATTTAACCCTTAACTTTTCTTTTTACTCTGTCACCCAGGCTAGAAAGCAGTGGCTGATCATAGCTCACTGAAGCCTCAAACTCCCAGACTCAAGTGATCCTCCTATCTCAGCCTCCTGAGCAGCTGGGACTACAGGCATAAGCCACCGCTCCTGGCTGACCCTTAACATTTTGATATTCACTTAGGTTGTTTGTCATAAAAGTCCAGTTCAATATAAATCCTTTGCTGATATCTCTGCAGGTAAATTCCTGACAGTGCACTTGCTGGGTTCAAAGAGTAAGTGTGCTTATAATTTAAACAGATTTATCTCCAAACTTCCTTCCAAAAAACGATTTACCTATCCACATTCTAACAGGACAAAAGTGCCTATTTTCCCACATTCTCCCCTATAGAGGGTATCAAGTTTTTTAATCTCCGATAATAAAAATAGTTTCACTGTTGTGATTTGCATTTCCATATCTATGAGTGAGCTGAACAACTTTCGTTGGATTCATGGCCATCTGTAGTGGTGACAAGCAGGGCAGGGCTCTGACACCAGCTAGGCCGGAGTCACACAACCACCCACTGACCCTCGGGGGTGCCATCAGGATTATAAAGCAAGTCACGTAGCCTCCCTACACTTTGTTTCGTCATCTGTCAAATGGAGATAACGATGGGGCCTATTTCCTATGGTTGTTCTGAGGATCAAGTGAGAAAATATAAGTGAAATACGCCACATAGTCTCTGGCACACAGCGCATAGAGTCTCAGCTACCAGTAATCATAGCAGTTGTAGTAGAAAAAGTAAGAACAGTTATTTTGAGGAGAGCTGTCTGTTTAGATCCTTTGCCTGTTTTTTGGCTGGGTTGCTGTTCCATTTCTATTGATTTGTACGCTTTTCTTCATATGAAGGAAATTAGCTCTTCATCATTTGTGACAAATATTTTTCCCAACTTGCTACTTGTTTTGTTTATAGAATTTCTTTTGTTAAATACCTTTTGTTTTTCTTTATGCAAGAAATACACATCAATTGTAGAAAAACGAGGAAACACAAGCAAGAAAGAAAACAAACACCACCTATGATTTCACATCCCAGATACTTTCGATTGATTTTTGGAGTCAATTTCACTAAAAAAATGGGATTACACACATACTGCTTTGATAAGATCACAATATATTGCAAATATCTTTCTACACTGCATCTCCTTTCACTTCCAAAGTCTGTATTTTGCCCACCACTCAAAGCACTTCCCTTCTTCCCAGACCCCTGTCTGTCCCAAGTCCAAGAAACTCACTCTGTCTGAGAAGCAGGTGAGCCTCGGGCCCAACATGGGCCTTCTCCCAGGCAATGAAAAAAGTTGGAAGCACCAAGATTCACAGGCAAAGCTTTGAATGTGACTAAGTCCTCCAGAACTTGTGCTGCAATAAACAAAATATCAACCAGCGGCCCCCCCGGAAGACTTTGCCAGGCAGAGCTCCAGGTGTTCTGGCATTGCAGAACTACTGCATCTGATCCCTGCCAGGGACAGCTTGGTAAGACTGACAGTTTTACCAGGTGCTTGACCTTACCAGTTCTAAAGAAAGAGATCACCAAAACCCCAACTTAGTTCTGTTTTGGAAACATTGGGTTCTTGGGGAGCTCCTGACTTTCCTGCCAGTGGTCAACCAGAGACGTGTAGGCTCCAGAGTCGGGAATTACATACCTCAACGCTCCGAGACCTAAAGCCTGGTGGCCCCCGGCCAGGAAGACAGGACAGAGACTCTGCTTACTTTAATTCAGTATCAAAAGTGGCCACAACTCAAGTCAAAGGAAAGTAAGAAACTAAAGAATGCGGCTCAGAAAGAACCAACAAGAAAAAAACTGTGGGGAGGGGCAGAAGAAAAGAATCTCATCTTTTACATTTGAGCAATTCGTTACTCAACTAAGTCCAAACAACAGCTTCTATCTGGGCCAAGGGATCCACTCCAGGAACACATCAGCTACCAGCAGGGCACCGTGACCGCCCCCGTCCCACCAGTTTCCTCAGAGACACCCTGTTCTCAGGTAAAGTAAGTGAGAAAGATGACTCAGGAGCCAGCAGGCAGTCTGCGGTTTCAAGAGACAAGGAGCCACCATTCCCAGAGCTTTTGCTATCTGACTCCTTCAGCTCTCCATCCCAGTTGAGACCCCACAGAAACAACCAGGGGTTTCTCTACTCCAGCAGTACAGGTGGAACAAACTCACATGTAGGCTTGTTCAATGAATTTGAAATAAAACATTTCTAATAGTAACAACATGGCAGCCAGCCAGACATGGTGAGTCCTTTCTCCACTGGTTCTGTTCTCTACTCCTTTATGAACTGCTCTTCCTGTCGCTGCTGCGACCAGGTGCACAGCGTGGGTTTTCAGCTCTGACACAACCAATACACAGCTCTGTGTTGGAACCTGTGGCTTCACCTCCAGCCAAGGTGGCAGCTGCCCTACATAGGGCCCAGGACGGGAGTGGGCTGCTCCCTCCAGATAACACAGAAGCAGCATCTCCACCTCCTCCCTAGCAGTTTAAAAGGGAGCTCACTTTGCCACAGCCAGTTTAAAGCAGCAATGAACGAAACTAAACCACTGGAACCAAACCTTATTCTGCATGTGCACGGCCCAGGGCAGGAGGTTCCACACTGGGCACCCCCAATCCAGGACAGACAGAGCTCATTTCCACCCTTCTAAAAAGCACTCTAGCTTTTGGACCTGGTCAACCACCGAGGGAAATCGCTCAGCCCAGCTCACGGCTCCCCCCGCTCACCTTGGGCGTGCAGTGCACGGTGGAGCAGGGGCAGGAGCCCCGCCTGCCAGAAGGAGTAGCAGCCGTCCACCAGCTTGTTGCAGCGGCCCTGAAATCCTCCTTCAAATCGCATCTGCCGGCTCGTCACCCATTGCTGAGGAGAGACAGATGGGAGAGGCAGTTGTAGGCTAAAAGAGACACAAAAATCCAGCAAGATAGGATCTCCAGAGGCCTCCGGTCTCTTGGCACTCAACTTTCAGTGCTTCGATTTTCTTCCCTTTGCTCCCCACTCCTGGCTGCAGACGTAGAGTGCAGCATTTAAGCTGACCCTCTGGAGCAACCAGCATTGATCTCTGCTCCGTGCCTAGCAGACAACTACCTTCCCCCAGGTTCTAAAGCTGTGCTGATGCTGAGAGGATAAAGAGGCCAAGCTGGTTTGTAAGGAGACCTGCAAAGTCTCTTAATAAACATGGCTTAAATAGGAAATTTAAGGCTAGACCACCAGTGGCTCATTTCTCATCAATTCCTTGCTCAGGGAAGTTTATTAAAGGCAGATAAATGGAGCTTTATGCTCTATCTCATCAGATGATCTCAAACTGTTCCTTTTAACTTGGCACCTGGGGAAATTTACCCACAGTCTCATAGCAAGTCGCTAGCGTGACTGGAAGCTGAAGCCATTTGTCCTGATTACCAAATGATGACTCTGCCCAGTCGATGGCTGATAGAAGAAAATCTTTTACTTTGAAGCTATAACATAGCTCTTGATGTCACTCAGTGGTCACACATGACACCGCCATCCCGCTTTTATCTCCAAGTTTTCTGAACACACTCTACTACAAACATCAAGATAGTCATGGGTTTGGCCTCTAGGAGCGAGAGGGAACGAGCAGAACCAACTGGCTGAGCAGATAACGGCACTTCCGTGTCCCTCCCAGACCTGCCAGGCAGTTCTAGCCACCAGCCCTGGGCTCGCAGAGCTGCCTCGCTGAGCCGACTGGGTACCGGGCAGGATGTTGCTCCTGTGTCCCAAGCCTTACTAGATTGAGTTCCTGAAAGCGGCCAGTAGGGACCCTCGATGGAAGAGGGGTCTGGCTCTCCCTTAACAGTTGTCCAGTTTAAACTGCATTCCTGTTCAAGGCGACACCCACCCACAGAGGGTCATGTTCCCAAATTCTTAAAGACAGAAAGCCCTGCACTGCAGGCTCAGGTGCTAACATAGCCTCAATTGGTCTTAAATGAACCAGTGCTTTAGGGATGCTGCCATCGGATGAAAGTGGGCTAAGCATTTCTCAAGAAAAGCAGCAGGAAATACAGTGGGGGGTCCATTCTTCATTTTTACTTACCACATAGCTCAAGTGTTTTTAGGTCAGACTAATTTATTTTTTCAAGTACCTGAACCCATGAGTTTGCTCTGTTTCCTTGGCTATATGAATTCATAAAATCCTTCAGATACGGGTCCTAGTTCTCCCAAAGCAAATGGAGGGAATGGAGTAGTTTGGGTAAGAGGGACATTAACATTTATTAAGCACCTACTATGTGCCAGGCTGTTAATACACATTCTCTCCTTTAACCTTCAAAGAATAGGATTGTTAGCCTACCTTATAAAAGGAAAAAATATACAAACAAACAAAAAAACCCTCAAGCTAAAACAGATTAGACAATTTGCCCAAGATCCCATATCTAGGAAACAATAAGGGCAGTGTTCAAATCTAGAATATTGTCATTATAACTTAGGCATTCACTAATTATATTCCTTGTTTCCGCGTGTTTCCGCGTGGGCAATGGGACTTTTATGTTTCATCCCTTGTTGTTGATTAGATTTTTAAAATGTCTGATAAACTCTAAGCCCAGTGCACAAAATTGGCTGTTGTGGCACAAACTTTCAAGCCTTCCAAAAAGCTTTAAGAAGAGTTGGCTCAGGGAGTCTTCCCGAAATTAAGGGCAAAACTCTGAGTTCTCTACAGAGTGCAAAAGAAATTAGCTCAGGACGGGCCGCACGACAGCAGCGTGCGAACTCAGGGACAGGAGCTCCCCGTCAGTTGCAGCTGATACATGCTTTGAGGTCATGGTTGGGAGTGCACACTGCCCAGATGACACAAGGGGGAATACCTTTTCCTTGGTGGCCGTGGGGTGTGTGTGTGTGTGTGTGTGTGTGTTTGTGCACTAGGCCATGGCCCACTGATCTTTCTCCCGGAAGTTGGCTGCTTTCTGAGTTCATTCTCAATAATGCCAGTAGCTTGGGGTCCAGACATAAATGCTTGGGCTGCCTTCTCAATGCAACTACCCAACTCTGCCTGGAGAACTCGTTTAAATGTAGGTACTAAATGTTCACACCGTACAGCAGGTAATAAAAGCTGGGCTTCAAAATGCTTCAAAGCTCTTCCCATAACTTTTCCTCTTAGAAGATTCTTTCTAAGATGCATGATAACCTCTAATTCTAAGAGAGTGAAGCGTGGGGAAGGTACTCCAGCTCACACCAGGTGTCTGCAGAACATCTGGAGTTGGCCTAACACACTATGTAGAAAGTTCTAAGGAAGATCAGAAGGCAAGAAGGGAGCTGAGACAGAGCAGTTGTTCCAATGCTCAGAGCTCCAACAACCACATCTAAAGCTTCATCCTAGGACTTGTAGTTGGTAAGCTCAAGGCTAGAGCCCTGTCAGCCCTTCCCCCAGCCACACCCTCCCTGAAGCCTGCGTATCTGAGTACGGTCACATCACCAGTGACCCGGGGCCTGACAGGGAGACAGCTGAACAGATACTTACTAACAAGCTCTTCAAGTTCAAGGAACGTTCCTTCTTGAGGATTACCAGCGCGGCCAGGCCACAGAAAGTATAGCCACCGTGTGCTTCCATCCCTGGCACCCCACCAATGCCACCTTCCCAGTTCTGACACCTAAGAAGAGATTGAGAAAAGCATAGTGGTCAGTGAGTGGATGCACACAAGTGCAGGACCTTCCCAGGTGGCAGAGAAAGTTCGCTCAGATGAAGGCAGAAGCCGTCACAACTATGAGTGCAAACAGGCCAACTAATTAACTTTTGGATAAGCCTTTTCCACATAAATAAATGAGCAAAATGAATAAGTAAATAAATAAAACCCAGAAGCTTAGAAACAGTCTACTTATGTAAGAAACATAGTAATTCAATTATTCTGAAAAAAAGTTATGAAAATCACATATAGTATGATAACCACCAGGTTAAAATAAAATTGGAAAATAATTGCCAATTCTGGTGATCTTTGAGGGCAGGTGTATTGGTAATATTTTTCCGTCTTGTTTTTCTCTATTCTCAAAAAGTTTCCATAATGAACTTTTATACTATTCAAAATGAAACTATTTTAAAAATTATAATTTCCTACATATTCAAATCATCCATCTATCATTATTATTATTTGGGGTTAAAGTATATATTAAGAATGTATTTTCTAGTCACAAAAACATGCATAATCTTTAGCCCAGCAATACAGGGCCATTTCCAGGCATTAATCTTACAAAATAAGAATGTGTCCAAAGATCAGACTGTAAGAATGTTTACTGTATTCTAATTTATAACAGTGAAATGTTAAAAACAACTTAGAAATTCAACAACAGAGGACTGGTTATGTAAATTATGGTATATCTATGCAACAGAATACTACAGAGCCATTTCAAATGATGCTAGAGAAGTATATTTAAAGATATTCCAAATATATGAAAGAAGTTTATCAAATGATAATGAACTGTATGATTTCATTGCCAGGATTCTGAAAGATAAATGCCAAAAGAGTGGCTATCTTTTGGTGGTGGATTACAAGTGTTTTAGGTTTCCTCTTTTTTGCTTGTCTATAATAAACATATTTCATCTGTGAAATAAAATTTTCTTTTAGGTATATCTTCATTAAACAATGTAGAACTTTACTTCCAACTACCTCTAATTATTTGTGTAGAGTCGCATTTCTTAGAGGTGAATCTGCCTCACAATCCCCCTGTAGTACAGGTGCACAGGTCATGGGCACCTCGTCCAAAAACCAGTAGAACGTCGGGTAGGAGAGAAAGTTAGCAGGAATACCTTCCTGTCTTCTGGGCACCTCTCCCTAGAGGCCTGGCATCTTGGGAACTTTCCAGAGAGGATCCAGGCCCAGGGAGATCAGCAGTGCAGACCGCAGTGTCAAAGATCAGCTACCACTTGCTGTACAGATTCTTTAGCAGCCTCTGTCCCCTACCCTCCATCACCGCACAAACATGTGCCCCAAAGTTTTGTTTCCGGTGCACTTCAGTGCATGTGGCTACTTGGAGTGCAGGAAGAGCTCAAGTTTGAAAGGTGTGATGAATGAAAAATATGCAAGGAACCTCTTAAAATTTTTTCTTGGTCTTTTTTTTTTTTTAATGAGCATTACCATTTCAACTAAAAAGTCCAAACTTTTAAAAGCATAGAATAATGAAAAGGTTTCCTGCCCACCCTGGCCTCCTCATCCCTCTCACCAGCCATGACTGTCAGTTTCTGCATCCCAGTCTTTGTCTACACACACATCTCCCCCCACCACACACACAAACACAAGATATGCATATATGTTACTTTCCTTCCCTCTGTTTTTACGTAGATGGGAGCATATGATACACGCTGCACCTTGCTTTTTTTCATTTAGTAAAATTCTTTGGGAGTGTCTTCTAGCTAACTATAACATAAGAGCCCAGTAAAACGAAAGTATAGGATTTTAAAAATGGATAAACCCACAAGGTAAAGAGAACAGAGAGGATATGAACACAGAGAGGAGATAACAACATTTTGAAAGCTAGAAAAGGAGGAGGATAAGAAGTAACCAACTTAGCAGAAGAGAGAAACTCTCCCTAGCCGAAGGGTGGAGGTGGGGGAGAGGCAACAAAAAAAGCAAGGTGATTTGCTCCAATGAAAGGCTCATAGATTAGAGACACAAGATACCTCTAAAAGTGAGATGAGTTTGAACCAAGTTCATTGGTTGCAAACTTATATAAGAATCAGATCTCCGGGTTCCCTCCTCAAACCCAGCAGAAGATGGGAGGTTTCAGGGGTTTAGTCAAAAGGACCTGGATTCCAAGCTGAGAGGAGGGAGGCACTGCACCAAACAAGGGGGTTAAATGAGAATGTATAATCTGAACACAAACACCCTCAGCCCCCTTCCCTACTAGCATCTCACAAAGCTGGCTGTCAGCTTCATACCCCAAGCAGGAATCTAAAAGATTTCTCCCTAGGGAAACTGGTAAGCCCAAGGAAAAAAACCCTACGATATTGATATATGAGAATTCCCTCCAATGACTAGCTGGGTCGTAGCCCACCCTTGAACATAGCTCCCCATCAGCTTTTCAGTGCTGGACTCAAATATGAACAGACAGCTGTGAAGCACCAGATATTTGAGCGAAGTCTCTGACATGGAAGAGAAAGACACCACAAACAAAAATAAATTGGAAGAAATATTGCAGAAGCAGAAGAAAAATTTTAAAAGTTAAATCTTTACAAAAAAATATTATATGAAGTAAGAATACTGCAAAGGTAACATATCCCTAAAACAACAAAATATAAAAAATAAGCACTCGGGAGAAAACTGAGCTCCGGAAAATTAAAAATGGGATTACAGAAATAAAAACTCAACAGTTTGAGAGGCTGAAGTGGGAGGATCACTGGAGGCCAGGAGTTCAACACCAGCCAGACTCCATATAGCCAGACTCCGTCACCACAGAAAAAAATTTAAAAATTAGCCAGGTGCAGTGGGACATGCCTGTAGTCCTAGCTGCTTGGGAGGCTGAGGAAAGAGGATCACCTGAGCCCAGGAATTGAGGCTGCGATGACCTACGATGACACCACTGCACTCCAGCCTGGGCAACAAAGCGAGACCCTGTCCCAAACAAAATAAATAAATAAATAACAACAACAACAAGAAATGATGACAATGACAACAAAAACAAACTCAAAGGATTAGAAGATAAATGATAAGGGAATCTCTCAGAAAGTACAAGAAGGATTAAAAGATGGGAAACAAAAAAAATACTTTGAAAAATTAAAAGATCAATCCTACTAACAGGATGTTATTAAAAAAGAGTAAACAGAAAATGGAAGAGAAGAAATTGTCAAAGAAACACTATAGCGAAGCTTCTTGGTACCGGAGTATGTGCACGTCCAAATCGAAGAGGCCTGCTGAGTGCCCAGCACGATGAATGAAAAATGATCCATATTAAGGTTCATCATCATGAAGTTTCCAAACAGCAAGAATAAAGATTCCAAAATCCCCTAGAGAGGGATGGGATGGAGGAAAACAGAGAGAAGCAAAACAAAACACAAGGAGGATTAGGAATCACAATGGCCCTGCCAGGCAGTAGAACATGGTGGAATCCACTTGATTTCTTTGTATTTCAGCTTAATAAAAAATTCAATATCCCATCATTCAACTTAAGGAAACTATGGGACACAGAGAAGTTAAATAACTTGTCCAAGGCACAAAGCTAACAATAAATGGCAAAACTGGGATTCAAACGCAGGCTGTCAGAGTTCCACGTCCACCAAGTGCCTAACAGATCAATCCTCCTGCAAATAACAGCTATACACTCTGAACAAAGAACAGCTTCCCAAGGGCTCTGCTGACTGAAAAGAGGCAAGCAAATTTTGGTGGGGTTTGAAACTTGGAGCAGACAACAGCACGGAGTTCATCCTTCCCCTCTCCCCCACTTTTTTCCTATTGCATTTGCCCTGAGCATGGCTACCCAGGGGCGACAGAAGATCAGGTATCTAATAGAAAGCCAACCACCTCTCTGGCAGGAGAAAGAGGCTGGGCCAGGAAGTGAGGAAGAATCCAGAAAGAGGAGAGTCAAAGAAGGAGAACACCAAATTCTACCTTTAAACTCAGTTCAGGTTTCTGCCTGTCTTCTAAATCACAACCGCATCGGGCAATGGGAAAGCAGCTTCTAAGAATTGAGACCTGAAGCCACCGCCCACTACAGGCCAGGCGTGGCAGTTTGTGGTTTGAGTCCCACCAAGGCGATTGCCTGCTAAAACAAAAACACCAACACCAGCCGAGCGCGGTGGCTCACGCCTGTAATCCTAGCTCTCTGGGAGGCCGAGGCGGGCGGATTGTTTGAGCTCAGGAGTTCAAAACCAGCCTGAGCAAGAGCGAGACCCCCACCTCTACTAAAATTAGAAAGAAATTAATTGGACAACTAAAAATATATAGAAAAAATTAGCCGGGCATGGTGGAGCATGCCTGTAGTCCCAGCTACTTGGGAGGCTGAGGCAGAAGGATCACTTGAGCCCAGGAGTTTGAGGTTGCTGTGAGCTAGGCTGATGCCACGGCACTCACTCTAGCCCGGGCAACAGAGTGAGACTCTGTCTCAAAAAAAAAACAAACAAACAAAAAAAGAAACACCAACACCCTTTGGAGCAATCTAACAGCATCCATAACATTATGTGGTATTATACCTACAACGGAATCACAACGTCCAGCCTACAATCCAAAAATCACTCAACATACAGAGAGGAAAATGTGACATGACAATTCCAAGATACCCAGATGTGGAAATAACCAGACGAGGATGTGAAGGAGATGTCATAATTACATTATTTACCACAAGGAAGAAAAATACATTCATAATGAATAAAAAGATGGGCAATCTCAGCCGAGAAACATAAAATATAAAAAAGAACCAAACCCAGGCAGCGCCTACTCTCGATCTCTAAACTATAACTATCTTCCTACTGAGCATTACGTAGTCCTCAATGAATGCCGGTTCTTATTATCATCAGCCTTATTAACAATGATACTGGGAGCTAGAAGATAATGGAGCAATGCTTACAAAATTCAGAAAGAATACAGTTTATACCATTTTCGACTTGGAAATCTCTGACCAAATAAACTATCAAGCAAGTGTGAGATTAAAATAAAGATGCAAAATCTTAAAAATGTATCTCTCATGTACCCTTTTTGGGGATCTATTGGAGTATGTGTTTCGTTAAAATGAGTAAGTAAACCAAGCAAAAGAAGAGCTGGGGCTTCAACAAAGGAGAGAAGTGACATGAATTTCATGCTGAAAGGAAGCTTCTGGATGCCTGCTGTGCAGCAAGCTGGGAGCAATCTGTGCAGACTGAAGCAGGAGGGCAGAGGGCTTTAGGAGGGGTGACTCCAGAATGTACACACACAAAATTACCTGAAGTGTTTGACTGCATTCAGAGCAATTTTTGTACAGCTCTGGCAGAGAATTTGGGAATGGATTCATGACATATACATTCATGACATTTATATTACCTCCAGGAATATGAAAGTTACAGAGAAGAATAAATATGATTAGAGTAAATATGGTCATCTGGTTTCACAGTAAATTATATTTATATAAGTACTACTTAAAAATCAAAATTTTAAAAAATTAAACAATATAACTTAGCTATCATTCCATAATAGAACATATATATCCCATCATACCTTTTGTTGCAAATTATGAAATGTATGAGAGATCCAAGAAAGTATAGCAAATAACATATAGAACATACATGGATCTAACACCTACCTTAGATTTAGTCATATACACTTTAGGCTTTTTTTTTTTTTTTTTTTTAAAGAAACGAACTGTTGCAGTTGAAGTCTCCTGTGCAGACTTCTGGTCTAACTTCCTTTGCTCTCTCCCCAGAAGTAACCACCATCCTGAATTTGCTGTTTATCTTTTCTGTGCATGTTTTTATATTACTACTACACATGATTCTTGCTATAAACGATACAGAATTGGTCTTGCATGTTTTCAAATTTTAAGTAAATGTGCTGATCTGTGTGGGGGTTTTTGTGTGTTTTCTTTAGCATTTTTTCCAATTCAATATTGTTTTTGAGATTTTTCCACATTGATACATGTAGCTATAGTTCATTCATTTCGACTGCTACATCATATTCCAATGTGACTACACTGCAAGGTAACCAATCTCCTGTTTATGAAGACTGAACCTGTTCCCAGCTTTCTGCTGTTATAAATAGTCCTAGGCTTGGCTGTTTCATGCATGTGTGTGTTTCTGCAGGAGTGGAATTCCTGGCTCACAACCAAGGGCACCTTTGAGATAGTGCCAAATTGCTCTCCAAACTGGTTAAATCAATTTAGACTCCCACTGATACTGTTTACCAGAGTTTTTGATCTTTGCCAATCTAAACTATAACATTAAAGAAAGTTTGGAAAAAAGAACTTTTAAGTATTTTTTAAATGCACAGTCATTAGATAACCCTAATATATCTCTTATAATTTTATATTCCCTTCCAGCCCCTTTTCGTTGTCTTTATTTTTCCAAAGTCAAGTCTTAACCACCTGCTCCGCAAGAGGCCAGGAGAAATCCTGGCCTCCCTCACCTTGCTATCCACTCGGCAGTGCCCTCAAAGAGGTCCGGAGTGATGATGTTGGTCAGAGAGGCGACCGAGGTGGCACAGTATGCGCTTCTGGAAAGACAAAAACGGGGGAAACCGGTTAAGCTCTATGGAAGAGCTAAACGAGGCTCAGTGAACTTCGTGGGTGGATAGCTCGCCTTGCCTAGTAAGCTGTAATCACCTCCTGTCCTCACTCTTGGCACACGGTCAGTCCTCCTGGGTCTCCAACTGAGAGGTGTGACATTCTATTTGGATAGAGTTGCTCACGGCATGGCTTCAGTGAAAGAACATGACATTCTATTCTCCCTACCTCCACATGGTCAAATCTACATCAGAGGAAATAATAGCCATATCAATTCATGTCAAAAGCGGATTTAGCTCTTCTTTCAAAGACCTACAATGGTTCCCACAACTCCATGGTGTCATTCAGGTACTTCCAACATGCTCATTCATTCAGATGTCAGTACTGTTTCAGACCCAGGATTTCTGTTTGTCTATGGCCTGGACACATTGAAGGTTCTCTATATGTTTTATGCAACAGACACATATTCCAAAGCAGGCCACCAAACCCAAACAGCTGCTTCGACCAAACAAGAGGGATAGGAGGTGAGCCCACTCAGGTACATTCCTTAAACCTCCAAAGGGAGGAAAGAGCTTTGATTTCATGCACCTCAGCAATACACATGCAGATACACACATTTTAATGAAAAAAGAGGAGTGTGTATATATATATTTTTAACATGATCCTACTTGATTTGAGATAATTCTTATCCTTCCACCTTCCAGCCCCAGTTCTTCCTGGGACACATTTTATTTCAGCTTCTCCCTCTGTCATGGAACCACAGACTGCCTTTCCTTTCCCTCCATGGTCTTTTCAAATATCCAGTATGGGGAAGACAAAAACTATTTGTTCAAATTGCTCCCAAATCCTTTCCCTAAGGAACATAAAAGCAAGGAAAAAGAAGGGTCTAATTTCCATCTTATTCAGGACAGACAAACCATGAAGCCAAACTTACTGAGGTATTGCAAAGAAATCTCCACAGAAGCTGCACGCATTATTATCCTACCAGCAATTTTTATCAACACTGCTCCGGCTGGCCAAAGGCACAGCGGAAGTATAGGTCCAGCAGCAGGCATCGGGAGCATACAAGAGTCCTACATGCCAATGCCAAATGTTATCATTTACCGTAAGCTAACTTCGAAGGTCTGATCTAATTTCCTTCAGGTCTTGAGCCCTCAGTGAGGCTCAAAATATTTGCTCTTGAATCCTAGTGTGATCTGTGAGAGGGGAGGCAGCCTATAATACGGTTTTGCCTCTCATAAATGGAAGAACTGAGAAACGATGCCTGAAGACACTGGTCCCAGATCTCACACTGACACAGGGAGCCAACAGAATACAACCTTTTCATGTATTTCCTCTCCCGCCCCCACCCAGTCATCTCAGGTCTCAACTTTGTCCACTACTTTCCATCCTCGCTGCTGTCACCCAAATCCAAGCCACCATTATCTTCTACCTGGATCAGTCTCCTGTCCCGTCTCCCTCCCTCCAGCCCTGAAATCAGAGGACTTTTACTAAAACACTACAATCCATTCACTGCAGCTAGAGAACTTCTAACAAACTACAAATCAGATCACATCACTCCCTACTTAAAACCCATCAGAATAAACCCCAGGCTCCCCGGCCTGCCTGCAGCCAGCCCCTCCAGCTCCACTGCTCCCCTGCCCACGAGGCCCCCTACACTTCAACATTGAACTTGTAGTTTCTTGAACACACCCACAATCTCTCAAGTAAACTTGTGCAAATGCTGGATCCCTGCCTCCCCTTTTCCCCACGGAATGCTCCAGATTATACAGGCAGAAGGGCGGCAAGTTGGCCTCCAGATGCTGAACCGTCCTCAGTCACTGCTGCTTCTCTCCAGGTCAAATCCACCCAACAAGCACTCCTGAGCAACAGCTGATGCTTCCAGGCAAAGGACAATTAAAGGAACACCAAGTGGAAAACAATGGAACCAGGCAAGGCAAGGCAACTCGATGCAATCTACTAGGTTTTCTCTGTCATTAACATCTTTAATCCTTTATGTAAGTAGAAAGCTCTCCACCAGAAGAGCGTGGGTGGATGAGGAATATGGCTCTGCAGTGGAACAAACCCATCTTTATCGGAGACGTCTCCTAGCATTTGTCTAGGAGATATGAATAAGAACACAGAAAAAAACTGGTGCTGGAATGAATAAAAGAATAATCGTGGCCGGGCGCGGTGGCTCACGCCTGTAATCCTAGCTCTCTGGGAGGCCGAGGCGGGCGGATTGTTTGAGCTCAGGAGTTCGAAACCAGCCTGAGCAAGAGTGAGATCCCGTCTCTACTAAAAATAGAAATTAATTGGACAACTAAAAATATATATAGAAAAAATTAGCCGGGCATGGTGGCGCATGCCTGTAGTCCCAGCTACTCGGGAGGCTGAGGCAGGAGGATCGCTTGAGCCCAGGAGTGTGAAGTTGCTGTGAGCTAGGCTGACGCCACGGCACTCTAGCCCGGGCAACACAGTGAGACTCTGTCTTAAAAAAAAAAAAAAAAAAAGAATAATCGTACTGTAAAAGGTATGTGATAAAATACCAAACGGATCTGCTATGCTTTACTTTTGCCAAATAATTTCAGTAGGTTTTAAAAAGCTAAGTTTCAAGACTGTGTATTTAGGTAGGATATCTATAGACTAGATATAAAAATGTAGTGACCATGAGGGGAAAAATATCTTTTCACTTTTTCCTTAAGGAGAATCAACACAAGACTGCTTTACTTCAATAGTTAACTATTGGTATATAGAGATACTTGGTCTAATTTTCTGGTTTGAATAGACCAGTTAGAGATTGAAGAAAATCTTTTACTAAAGGCCTTTTCGGCTTTGTTACCTACTTCTATCTGCAATGTGTTTTATGCTCCACTACGCTCACATTTTTTCTTCCCCTATACTTTCAAACCAATGGTTAAGCCACATGCTTAAGCCAGAATATTAATCAACTTGTGTAGAAGCAAACCCATTTATACATAGGCAATGACTTTGATATAGACACCTCACAAATGATGTATTTCTCAGAATAAATAAGAAAATGGTATAACATCTCAATGAGCCACTGTCTTTGAGAAATGACTTATTCAGGGAATTCCCTATATGCCTCAAAAGGAATCTCCTGCCAGGTGAGGAAGCTACTTGCTAGGTGTACCAGACACTTCTTGAGTAAAATAATGGTTTTGAGCCAACTGGTACCAACCGGTTAATGCGACTTTATTGCACTGCACTCTACTGGCCCACAAGGATCGCCGCACCTCCCAGAGCGACTCACACGCCTTGGGACATTCTCATGATTTTGTTACATTCATTCAAAAAGCATTTTCTGAATCCTGACTTCTCCCTTCCTATCTCAGGGAGAGGAAAGATTATATTACACTATATGGTTAGTCACATTGTGGTGTATCATTTTATATCAAACAAATGTATTTTTAAAACAAAAGCATGTTTTGTTTCCATCTTGTATTTTGACATTTACATAAAAGAAGTCAAGTGATAATGACACCTGAGGACATCTGTATCGCATCAGCAATGATTATGACACCGTGTCATTGACCTGTCATTCTACGAGACAAAGCAGCAGCTTCCCCGTGTTGTTCCTTAGGCTTGGCGTCTCTGACAGCAGATAAGCTCTAGAGTCAACGGATGCGGCAGCCTGCGAAAAACCCCACTCACCTCACGTCCACCTCACCTCCAACATGCATGAGAAAAGAGCCATCGGGTTGCTTCAGCGAGTACAAATATTGAAGAAGCTTCTCTCTGAGGAACAAAAGGGACAGAGGCAGGAGAGGCAGCGGTCAGTGCAGTGTCGGCATGCAGGGAGCCCCTCTGGGTTTCCGTCACTGCTGGCGGCTTTCGCTGTACCTGTTAATGACATCGTAGGCCTCCTCGGTGCCAATGATGCACAGCGCATTGACTGCTGCGTACGTGGGGGCCAGGTGTGGGTACTGACCAGGGCCCCCTCCAAAGCCACCTTCTGGGCTTTGGCACAGCTCCAGGAACTGACACACACTAGGTACACGGTCAAAGGGAAAAACAAAGTCAGAAAGCATTAATTTCAAAACACTGAATTCCCACTGAATTCCAGGCCTTTCCAATGATCCTCCCTCCCTCAAAAGGGGGAAAAAAACCTCTCTCCTCCCACCTGTTGAATATAACCCTCTCAAAGGGCTTAACCCTCTCCACAGCTCTCAGGAGCTTTGTATGCCCTCCTCTCTGAGCTCTGTACTTAGCATGTGCCCAGTCGTGAAGCAAGCAACACAAGGCTGGGAGCAGCAGTCTTTCGCAGACGTGGGGGTGGGAGTCGCCTATGCTCCTTGACCAAACCTTTCCCAGACTTTTCAATTTGCCTCCCTGGATCTGTGGTACCAGCCTCCTCCTCCTTGCCTTTGGGGACATGCCAGCTTTGAATCTTGCCTAGAACTTGGTGCTCAACTGCTTCTTTCCACACTAACCGCTCTAGTCTAGATCCATTGCCTAGGGCGGCCTCCCATGAGGACATAAAGAGATGCCTTCTCACTCCCACTGCTTCCTGAGCCCCAGTGGGCTACTGATTTCTTTTCCTTCCACCAGTAATAAACCAGTTTTTAATGGAGCCCACCTCCAGGGCTAGGAGAATGAAAGAGAGGCAAGCTTCCATTATACCCACCCCAACTGCAGCAAACTCAAGAGAAGCACCACTGACTCACACCATGAGACTGTATCACTGTATGCAGGCTTCCGGAGAAGTTTTCACACTTATTCAAAGAGGCTCCAGTTCCCACTGAGGGAAACTGTTTATCAAGAGTTTGCCTCCAAGCATGGCATCAGGTCGCCCAGAAGTTACATTCTTGCAAATCAAGAGAGCCCCTATTTCTCCGAGGTCCTCTGAAGTTCACCGGAGTTGTTTCCCCACAACTCAGCAGGGTCACTGCCTTCCTATCAGGAGAAAGCTCCATTTAAGAGAACAAGCTGCCAACTGTGTCTCTAGTGCTCAGGGGGCCTTCTTTTCCTGGGCTCTTTCGCCTCATTATTTCTTGCCTACTGCTGCCAGAGAACCCACACAGCTTAGTTAATTTCTATGAAGACACAAGTTCATTACTGCTTTCCCACATCACTTTTAATTACTTTTGACTTCAGACCTTTTATCTGGGCAGGGACAGCAAAAGAAAATGTTGCTTGATCTTCATAAGTGCATTTGAAAAAGATTTAAAAAAGAAAAGAAAAGTGCTGCTGCCTTTCAGAGTCCTAAAATCTTCCCAGGTTAAAACAATACACATTCATTTCTAGTTACACCTAAAATTTTACTGTAGAAAACACAAGGACTGAAACTGAAATTGATAATTGGAGAAGGAAGACAATTCTGCGGCACATTTTTAACAGCAATTAATTTTCACAAAGAAACTGAATTTGTTCCTAATATATTTTCCAAATCATCATCAATTCTTATGTCATTTCCCAGAAACAGATAGCTAATAAACTCACGTCCTAACAAAGGTTAGCTGCACTAGCATATCAAAAGTTTTCTGTACCACAAAAACAAAAGGTTTTGCTGACATAAAACTTAACAGCACATTTAAAAGAAGAAGAAAGAGTCACCTAGTTGTCTATTCCTTTCCTCAGCTCCTAACATAGAATCCTGCCGAACACAGCACTCCTGACTCCAGCCTAAAGTCTGGAATGAGCTAGGATCTGAATGTTCCAGACACCTAGATATCATCCCTCCCTGCCAACCCCCCTCAGCTGACACTGCATCTGTCTTTGGGACTGTGCTCGAGAACTGGAGGTTGAGCTTCTCTCGAATCTCAGACACCTCTGTGTTACAGGACATTCTGATCCTGAGGCCTTCCAACGTGAACCTTAAGGAACTGGCAAATTGACCTATAGCTTCCAGCTGTCATTAGCAGACTTCTTAGCAATTCTGAAACCCAAAATGTTCATGATATTTCTATCTATTAAAATGGGGAGAAAAACTTACCATAGAGACCAGAAACCCACCAACTAATAAAAAATTACAAGAAACACTATACAAACACCTAGAGTGGCACACTTTGTGAAAAGTATTCACAAAATTATTCACTTAGAATATGACTAAAAGCTGTAACAGATCAATTTTCTTTAATGTCAGCTAGGTATTTCATTCTAGCTTACGTGACAACCACCAACAAAGTGGGAAACTATCCTCTAGATCAGGGATTTTCAAACTCAAAATGTGTGTGTCGGAATCATTGGGAAGCTATTAAAGAATACAGAGACCCAGGCTTGAAGCAGAAAGAGCCTGGGCCTCTGCATTTTTACCAGTTCCTAAGTGATTCAGATACACACAAAGCTTGAGCGCCACTGCACTTCGCTGCACAATTACAATCACTTGGGGGATATTTAAAAAACTCAATGTCCAGGCCACACCTAATACCAATTAAATCAGAATCACTGAGGGCAGGACCCAGGTGGCAGTATTTTTAAAACTCCCCATGTGACACCAACGTTCAGCCAAGTAGCAGTGCTTCTTAAACTTGAGTGTGCATAGAAATCACCTATGGATCTTGTTAAATGCAACTCTAATTCAGCAGAACTAGATGGCCCTGAGATTCTGCCCTTCTAACAAGCTAACAATGAGACCTGTCTCATTGCTACCCAACATGTGGGCCCCAGACCAAGAGCAGGTGATGGCAATGCCCCTGGTCAGGGGACCACATTTTATGTGGCGATGAGATAGATCTGCACTGTCCAACAAGTAGCCACTAACCATATAAGACTATTTAAATTTTCATCTAAATTAATTAAAATGGAAAATTCAGCTCCTCAATCATACAAGCCACATTTTAAGTGCTCAATAGTCACATGTGGCTAGTGGCTACATATTGGACAGCACAAATATAAGACATTTATTTGCATTATCAAGAAAAGTTCTATTGGACACCACCACTCTATCATTCAATCATTAAAGAGTATGTAAATCTTATAAGAGGATCAAGTTCAAAGCAAGAGTATCAATGATTCGTAGCCTTATAAGGAGCTTACTGGGACTTTTAGGTGATAGTTGAGGACTGATCTAAAGTGTTTGACTCTAAACATTACTGTCACCAACATGAATGAAGGACTCAAAAGCATGTACAGTAAATAAGCAAATAATACAAAATGAGGAGGGAAACAAATCAGAAGCCAATAAAAATGAAACAAATGAAATAGGTACAAGTAGCAAGAACTATGCTTAGGGATGGCAGGGGTGGGGGATGGGTAAAGCATCTAAATACAAGATGGAAAATGACTAGGAACATAGGAGAAAAGGAACCAGAGGTTAGGATCCATGAGCTGTCAACAACAGAACACTTGTTAAAAGCATCATAAGCTGGGTGCACTGGTATGTGCCTGTAGTCCCAGCAGGAGGATCTCTTGACACCCTGGGCAACAAAGCAAGACCCCATCTCAAAAAAAAAAAAAGGAAAAGGGGGAAAAAAAATCATTAACACACTATCAGTCAGAACTGTCTTTGGCTTGAGCCTTCCTTTTCCAACTCAAAAGAGTTTGCACTAGAGTAGTAAAAATGGCTAAACTGTAAAAAAAATATTAAAAAGCTTAATATTACAGACAACCACAATGAAGCTACCCAGCAAAATACCCAATTATACAAAGGGTAATTACACAAACTTTCTAGTAAATAACAAAAATTGAGGCTAATCTGTAGCAAAAATGTAGGTTAGATTTAAGAAAAAACTTCCGCACCAGAATAGGTTACCAAGGACACATAAGGCCTAGAATAAGTTATGAAGATTATAGCTTTGGAAATGAAAACAGTCATCCTTGAGCAGAATGGCTTAGGGGTAGATGTAAAGGCAAGATGAATGAGTTGACATCGGGGTTCTTCTAATACTAATTCTTCCAAAGTTCACACTGTAAAACAGCTTCGGCTTATTACAATGGAGAGGAACACGCCTTCCCCAGGTAGAGTACAACACTGAATAGGTGAATGACAGGGAGCAGCTCTGTGACCCCAGGCCAGTGCTGCTCACAGGGTAGGATAGGCCATCCGACTTCATCAAGCACTGACAATCCTCTGGGTGGTGGCTGTTTTGGAAATATGGTCAAGTCTAAAGTTGGTTATTTTAGAGTTTCTTAATTTACAGAACTATTGACATTTGGGGCCTGATAATTCTTTGTTGCAGGGACTGTCCCGTGGGAGGACATGTAGCAGCATCCCTGATCTGCACCCACTAGATGTCGGCAGCACCTGGCCCAAAAAACTGCCGAGAAGCCAAATGCCTAGATGTGGTATCCTCACTGAAAGGTAAGGAAACAAATTACATTTAAATTTAAAAATCAAAAGAAATACTTAAGGGGCTGTTCAGGGAACATGCTACTAATAACCTTTTGTAAAGGAAATAATAAAACACTGAAATGTCAATTTGAATTTATCTTTGGAAAAACTATTAACTGAAACGTCCTAATGCAGTTTTTACATGAAAGGCAATTTTTAGATCTCACAGAAGCTAAAAACTGAACTTCAACAGCAGTGCCTCCCTGTGATTCTCATTTTGCTCTGTGTGTTTCACTGACGTAGCTCTCAATAACAAGACATGGGATTCTCATTAAAGGATGCTTCCACCAGTGCTAAAATTATTAAAGCAAGGCAAGTGTACTTAGTCTGGTTCCAAAATATTAATTTACTTTATGTAAACATGAATAAATTTGCATATATAACCTCTTAAGAGAGGCCAGCTAAATTCCTACCTATGAACGTATTATTCTGGAAACCTCCGATATCAGCAGTAAAAGCCTGCTCTTGCTGGTTAGCAGTAACAGTAGCTGACAAAAGTGATTTCGTCCACTAGAGGGAACCTAGCTCATCATTGTTCCCTAAACAAATAGAAGCACAATAGTGAACAGAATAGGGAAGTGAGAAACCTCTGTGTACGTGTAGGGTGTTTATGTTGCATGCAGGGAAAGAAAAGGGTAGGAAAGCGATAAAACTCCCAAACTAAACTCTCTGCCTCTAGGTCACCTTAGTATTTGTATGAAGGAAAAAAACTAACCACATTTCAAAGCATTTCTTTTCCTTGTGCAAAATAAGTAAAAAGGTATTATCCTATTCGAGGTAGACTAAAAAACAAAAAAATCCCATTTTTTTTTATAAAAGTCATTAAGATTGCTCTGTATCTTACTAAAAATAGTTTATTGCCTTATAGGTCAGAGCTATTAAGTGCTGTTCATAGCAAATATTATCTGCACCTAGAATTAACTGCCTGCTAGGCACAAAACAAAATACTATTATTGGAATAATGGTATTTCAACTATGTAATTGATTGAAAGTTCATTACATTTATGGTAAGAACCACAGGTAAAGCCTTTCAGGCAGCTGTGAAGCAGAAACTCAGTCATTGACTATCAAGTGGTTCTTGAATGAGGACAAATCAACTCTTTATATTTAAAACATTCTTTTAGTGGAAAAACAATATAGGTTCATTGTAGAAATTTTAGAAAATACAAATAAGCTTAGAAAAGAAAATTTAAAAACCACCTTTAACCTCACCATTCAAAAATAACTACCAAATACGTGTATGTATCCTTCTGGTTTTTTCTATGCATACAATCATTTATATTTTTATTCTTTAAAAGTTGAATCTTTTAAACTATTTTCATTTCATATCTCTATATAAACATATACATTTATACATTTTTTATGTAAATTTTTTAATGGATACACAGTATTTCATTGTACATATTACATCATAATTTATTTAAACTTCAAATAAGTTTTAAAGCAGCCTCTACTGTTGGTATTTAGGTTGTTTCCAGCTGTTCACTGTGAACATCCCTTTAAAGGGCTCCTCTCTTCCTGTGTGATTTTGCCACAAAAGCAGCTCTGACGCTTATTTCCTCAGAAAAGGCTTCACTATAAAACGCCAATTATACAAGCAAAAAAAAACTCAGAGTCGATTCTGACCTTAGTTCTACCACCTCAGGGGCCCGTCATTCTCCCTTCCTGCTTCCCAGGGTTGTGTCCTCCTCCGTGGGGCATCTGTACTCACGCTCACAGACACCTCCCATTTCTTGGACATTCCCATTCTCCTAGCATACATCCTGGCTACGTAGGTGTCGGGGGGAACTTCCCAAACAACCCCCAACCCCCAACTGGTATTTCAAAAACACATGGGCCTTTATTTTGACAATGAAATTCCTGTTACTGCAGAAGCTCTGTCCAACTCTACTTCAGTGCTGGAAGCAGGCAGGCTTGCAGCCACATCCCGATGACAAACAATGCAGGCTCCTCTCCCTCAGAGAGCATCCTACGGATCACAAGGGTTAATGGCCTAATTCTTTCTTATCTTCCCCATCCACATTCATCACAAGACATCCTGCCCAGGAAGGCAAGAATGAGGGGTTATTGTTAAGACAGAATGAATGAGACAATGTGCAGTTCTGTTCTCCTGACCTGACAATGTGACCGGGGACACTATGACCAGAGAGGGGCACGGGCTGGCCTCTGTGCATCCTGGCACAGCTGCCTTCTTGTGCTGCGGAAAAACGGACCTGGCTCTGGAGACCCCAACCCAGACCCTCGCCACCCTCAGGAGCAGCAGGGGAAGCCGGTGAACTCAAGATACCACCAGGGGACATGCTCGCTCCCAGAGCATCTCTTGGATCCAATTCCTGGCTGCACTTTCCTAACCCAGGTATCCCTGGGTGATCAGTTTTTTCTTCTTTAAGACATCAAGTGTGATGAGCTTCTGAGAACGCCAGCTGCACAAGCAGCTTGGGAAGAATCTCAGTTGCTCAGATCTCTAATCCTAAATCGGAGGTTTAAGAAAACTGTGAGTCATGGCATTTGTATACCAAGACAGTAACACACCAGTCCCATCAAGAGCTGTACTGTTCCTCCAGGCACTGGGGAGGAGGTACTTCTATGGAGATGTTCGAGGGGGGCAAAGGCATTTTTGTTCACTGGGTTGGCACGCACTTCCCCACAGAAACTATTCAAACGCATACTGTACTTTCTGGTGAAATCACGTCTCTCAGAGTTGATGATGAAGAATTTTCTCAAAGACCAGAGCCAAGAGCCAAAAGAAAAGGCCACAGAAGAAACCAGAATCCTTCTCTTGGGAGTTCAAAGTCTTGTTCTACCCACCAGCTTACATTAGGCTTCGAAAGCGGAGGAGTTTGAGGAAGATGCCGGAGGTCATGAGAAAGGCAAGGGTTTCTTTGTAGCACTCTGGTTTTTTCCATTCCAAACAATTAAAACAGAAAGAACCCAAAACTCAAAATACAATTTCAGAGAACACCCAGATTCCCCGAAGCCAGACTCACTCTGTGGCCACTATCTGGGGGATGGGCTCATCCAGCAACTCCAAGCTGTGTAGGATCCAGTAGCAGAGCCAGGGGCGGCTGGCGTCCAGACACTGCGAGAGGGACAGGGAAAAAACACACCCCTTACTCAGAACCGTTCCAAGACACTGCTGACAAGGCCACATCTGTCTCACTCCCGGCAGCCTGGCGAGGGGGAGGAGGGCACGCTTGAACAACAAGGATGCTTTGCTTTGTGGCCCTAGCTAGGAGCGAAAATGACCATCTATGGGAAAAGACGATGGGATTTAAAAAGTTGACCTTGAACCCAGTGGCTGCTTCCCTGGTGGGCATCTAAGGAAGGCTGAGCAGAGGACTTCGGACATGCCAAGAAGTTAAGGGCTCCTAGAGACCCAGGGAGATATATAATCTAAGAAAGGGACTTCCTAGATTAATTCATTCACTGATTCAACAAATATTTGGTATGTATCTACTTGTGCCAACCACTGTATTAGACACTGGGGACAAAATAATGAATAAAATCTGGTTCCTATTCTTGAAATGCCCGGCTATAGAATGTGTATGGTTATCTGTAGAGGAAAAGGACACCAGATAGACACGTAGGTACAAGTTACCTCATGTCTTTCTGGCACAAGGTAGAACATGACCCATGAGTACGTGTACCTGGATAATGCTATAACGGGCAGAAACAGAGTCTTGAGGGAGCATACGGAAGAGATTGGCTAATTCTGCCTAGGGGAGCTGGGGAGGGGGAGGCTTCCAAAGTTGACATGTGAACAGATCTTGATCCTAATTCAAGCCGTAAGTGGTTATTGTGCGTTCAAGACTAGGCAGGGCAGGGAGTAGTACTGCCCCAGTTTTACAGACTGAAAGTATATAAATGGGCCTAGAGAGATTAACTTTTTCCAGATTACAAAAATAGTAAATATCAGAACTGAGACAAAAAATCTAGGTTTTTAGACTCTCACTCTGGTGCTCTTGCCATCAGTCAAGCTGCTCTCTTGAAAACTATGATGTCCCCAGCTGCAGCTAACCTACTGCCTGGAGGGGGCAGATAGGTGGGCAACTGAAGACACTACTGTGGCCCCAATTTAATCCCTACTCCTCCTCTTGCTAGCTATGTGCCTTTGAGCAAATTACTTAATCTTGCAATGCCTGTTTGCTTACCTGTAAAAAATAAAGACTGACCTGCCTCGTGGAGTAGTTATGAGGATGAAACGAGAGAATGCATGGTGAGCTTTAGCACTCCGTTCAATACATTGTTAGCTGTTATGGAATTAACTGTGTCAGGGCAGACTGGACCCTAACCACTCAGGACCAGAGGCAAGGATTGAAAATCGATGGCTCCCAGGCACTATCTAGCCTGTGGATGTTTTTGTTTAATTGGAATTGGTTGCGATGTTTAACTGTTAGGAGAGTCACTTAAAAATATGGATTTCTGGCTTCATTTGGGGAAAAAAACAAGATCTGGCAACCCTGGGCCTACACTCGGGGATGGCAGCGATGGGTGGGAACAGGGTAAAGGCACGGGGCTTCCCGATAGCCTCAGTCTCCACCCAGCCCACTTTGCTTATTTGTGCGGCCAGCTCAGGCCCCACGGGCATTTGAGCTGGCAGATCTCTGCCACAAATCATCAAATGTAGAACTCCAAATAAAAAGCAGATTAAAAGTAGAGCTGCTCTGTGGAAAGCGGGGCAGGAAGACTGGAGGACCCCAGCGCACGTTCCCTTTTTGCTGCCACTCAACCCCACCCAACGCACGTCCACCTCCACCAGCCCTGTGGCTCCTCTGTGAGCCCTCGGGTGCTGGGAATGACTTCAGATCCACTCTGAGTCTGGGCCTAGGTGTTAAACTGCAAGGAGTACTCTCTGGGATTCACGTATTGGTCCTCTGGCTAGTACAGAAATTAGATCCATTTAGAGGGCAAGGGGTTAGGGATGAGTAGGCAACTGACTTTCAGCTAGCCGTCGAGGGCTCTAGAAGTTAGCATTGAACCCCTCAGCTGTGACCTAATGGGAGGAGAAAGCCCCACGCCATCTAGGGTGCCCCACTAGCTCTGGAAGAGACCTCGTTCTGCCCCTTGCAGAGGTGGGAGTCCCGGCTCTGTGACAGCACCCTGCTTCCCGCCAGAGCCACATGGTACGTAGCATGAATTGGCACCAGGTCAGACCCCACAGCCTTTTACTTCAAATAGAAGAAAAGGAGGAACGCGTGGCTGATAACCTGACAGAAAGAGTTCCTGGGCGACGTGTTTACCTCATAGGCGTCTGTCAGTTGTCGAAGGCCCCTTTTCAGATAATGGAAGTGCTTCTCCCTCTGTAAAATAAGCCTGGAAAGACAAACAGCTTGTGAGCCCATTCTAATAGCCTGTGCTGCCACCCCACAAATGCGCGCGCGCGCGCGCGCACACACACACACACACACACACACACACACACACACACACACACACTCTCGGTTTCAGGACGTCCCCCCGCCCATCACTGAATGGATGACCAGCAACTTCTTCAGCTCCCAGGGCAACCACACCAGAGAGAAGAGGCCTGCGTCTGAATGTCTCCAAGTGTCTGGGGATCGTGCCAGCAGACATTTTGAGAGTCTCCTAAAGGATGTGACTTTGGGCTAACTGAAGAGCTGCAACGAGCACACGCAGCCAGGCAGTGACAGCCCACCCAGAAAGCTCCTCCAGGATTTAAGAACAGATATCTTGTGTCTCCCCATCCTGTTAAACCTCAGCCCCGCCACTTCCCTGAGTCGGTTAGTTGCTGTTGTTTCAGTTGTTCCTTCTGGGGTCACGCCTCCAAGGTCTGTAGTCTGTACCCTGCCTGCCCCTGGTTATCCATCTGTTATTCCCTCCCCAAAATTCCACCTCCCACGTGTGACCCTCAGCCCTGGCCAGTCGCTGTCCTTGGCACTGATGTCAACAATATTGGCTTTAAGATGGAATGTGCCGCCCATGGCCACCTGCACAGGCAGGGCAAAGGACAGAGGCTGCACTTCTTGCCTGGTCTCGCAGAGGGGCCTGTGCGACTAAGGAAGGAAGGAAAAAAGAACAGAATGTCAAGACATTCACTGTGCTTGCTGATTACAGAAACGAGAACCATTCCCTTTTCTAGGTAGTCAATTCAACAATTTATTTATCAAACTCCCACTGTACTATGCTCAGAAGATCCTAATGTAGTCTTTACCTCAAAAAATCTTTCAATTCAAAAATGAGGTAAGTAGATAAATGGTTATAATACAAGGAAGAAATCAGCATGTTTCATAAAGGAAAGATAAAATACTTTAGCTGGGTGCAGTGGCTCGCACCTGTAGTTACAGCTACTTGGGAAGTAAAGGCAGGAGGATCACTTGAGCCCAGGAGTTTGAGACCAGCCTGGGCAACATAGTGGTGAGACTCTGTCTCTAAAAATAAATAAATACATAAAAATTAATGAGGCTCCAGAGGTAGGGAAGCATCTCACGAAGAAAGGAACAAACAGGAAAGTTCATGTGGAAGAGGTAGAATTTGAGATGAAGGGCCCTGGTAGATGGAGAAGTTTTAAATTAAATTTTACATAGCCGCAAGTAGCTAATAGCTGCTGCCTTATGTTGTAGGTAGGTACAAAGCGTACAAGAGGAGTCACAGGAGGGGTAAACTGGCCTAAATTTAGGAATGAAAGAGGAATAGAAAAAGCAGCTGAGACCCTTTTCACAGGAGTCTGGGATACAAGCTGAGGAACTTTGCCCACTCAATTTAGTGGGCAAAGAGAAGCCCTCAAGGTTTCTGAGCTGAGAAGAAAAATGACCAGAAGTGTGCTTTAGAAGCAGCAGCTGACAGCAGCGGTACTCAACACGTGTTTACAAAGTGAACTGAGCGACAGCACCGCAGTGGGCAGAGATGGGGAGGAGAGACTGGGTTCGAAGCCGTGAGGAGCTGCCTGGTGACAGGTACTTAGGGCCCGAGCTAGTGTGAGGCCCCATGATCAGCTGACTTCTGGACACGTGGACTTTAGGGCACTGGAAGCATAATCAGGTGAGGGCGTCAACTGACTGCTGGAAACACATGGGGCTCAGGAGAGGAATCCAGGTTATGTATACAGACGGGGAATCACTTACCTGCCTGTAGGGGACTGCTGAAGCCAGGAGAGAAGATAAAAGCAGAGAAAGTCTGAGTACAGAACTGAATGAAGACCCATCTTTAAGGGCTTGGAGGAGGACGAGGAGCCAGTGAAGGAGAGAAATAAGGGAGTTTACACACATAGGGGAAGGCCAGAGGCAGGGTCCTGTCACAGGCAGTAAGGGAGGAGGGAATTTCACGAAGGCATTTAACAGTGGCACATGCTGCAGCAAGATCGAGGAAAAAGACAACAAAACCACAGAGTGGCTGGCAACCTTCAAGAGCGTTCAGGGCAGTGGTGAGGGCAAACCATAAAGGAGGCCAGACTCAGTTTCTCTTTCAGGGAGATCCAGCCCAGCCAGGACTCAGGGCGCCCCCACTCGGTGTGGGCGGAGTGTCTGGTGCGGGGATAGATGCTGCTCTGCTCCCCACAGCGATGGTCCAGAGGGGGACTAGGCCCACAAATGGCAAGTGGGGCCCCGTCTGATAAACACTGTGCTCAGGGAGGCGCGGAGGGCCCTGGCAGCCACAGGAAGGCATGGAGGATCAGAAAACTCTTCCCAAGGGCAACAGCATTGAGGCTAAGGCCAGAAGGACATGAGTTAGCCAGGCGAAATGAAGAGGACACCATGGCACCTTCGAGTTAGTTTAGTTCATTCAGCTGCAGCAAAAGTGCAAGGGAGTGAGCAGAGAGAAATCAGATGCTGAAAATGCAAGAGCCCAGATAAATCTGTCAGGGAAGGTCCCCAGATAAGAGGGAGGGGGTTGGGATGAGGGTATGGCAGGAGGGGTGAGCCTGCAATGAGAAAGGATTCGACATTCTTGAAGCCAGAAATGATGGGCACAAGTAAAAAGCTGGCCAAATGTAGGAGTTTGAAGTGGGAAAAGGAAACAGGAAACTCAGGTGGGGCGGCCTCAATCTTCTCAGGAACTAGGAGTCAAGATCACGGGAGAGTTGTGGATTGGCCACGGTGCTGAATGTGTTAGGGAATCCACATGACATGAATAGAAAGATTATAAAGCAGTTAGTGAAGCCCACTGGAAATTAAATTTTGGTGAAGACAGTTGGCAGCCTCAGGAGAAACCAAACCTGGGGACACCTTGACCTTAGACTTCCGGCCTCCAGAACTGTGAGAAAATAAACTTCTGCTGTTAAAGCCACCGTCTGTGGTACTCAGTTATGGCAGCCCAGCTGACCAATACCCTTACTGGTCCTTCACTCTCGATTCACCTCTATCTGAAATTTTTTCTGTGTTGGAACTTAAAAAAGAAAAGGTATGCTTGGCACGGTGGTTCATACCCATAATCCCAGCACTGTGGGAGACCAAAGCAGGAGACTCACTTGAGCCCAAGAGTTCAAGACCAGCCTGGGCAACATAGCCAGACCCCTGTCTCTACCAAAAATAATTTTTAAAAAATTAGCTGGGTGTGGTGATGTGCACCTGTAGTCCCAGCTACTCTGGAGGCTGAAGCAGGAGGATCGCTTGAGCCCAGGAGTTTGAGGCTGCAGTGAGCTATGGTCGCACCACTGTACTCCAGCCTGGATGACAGAGCAAGACCCTTTCTCAAAAATAAAAACAAGAAAGAAAAGCTAGAGCTCTTCCCCTTTTTTTCCCTGAACAAGTCAGCCCCAAAACCATTCAGTTAGGTGGAATCGAACAAGATGGGCTCTGTGCAGGAGTTGAGGGTACGGAGGTGGCATGCAGGGTGTCAGAGCTCAAGTGGATGAAGAGGGTGTCTGTGCAGTTGAGGACGGAAGATCGGGCCGTGCAAAAGCAATGATAAAATAGGTAAATCTACTGCGGCTACTGGAAGTTAGGTTTCCACTGTCTGAGGAAGAACTTACAAACATACGTGCACTGGGTGGCCACGCAAATTATATTCCTCGAGCATGAGCCCACTGGGTTTGAAGGCCCTTCACGGAGAACCTCCACCCACCTCTCTCCAGCCTCATGGGCGCCCCCACTGATCTGCAGCCACAATGCCTTCTTTGAGCTCTGCTCTTTTCAGTCTCGGGACTTCAGCACATGCTGTTCCCTCTGCCTGGAGCCCACCCAGATCCCATAAGTCAGCCAAGCCTACTCATCCTATATGTCTCAGCTTAAATGTCACTTTCTCTGAGAGACCCTCCCTGTGATTCTCTCTCGGACCATCCCATTGATAACTGTGTATCTGTGTTCATTTGTTTACTGTCCACCTCTCCCATGAGACTGAGAGCCCAGCCGGGGCATGACAGGGGTCAGCTTTGCCCGCTCCTGTTTCCCAGAGTCCAGCAGAGTCCCTGGTCCTTTGGAGACCCTCCAGATACTGTTGCTGAATGAGTGAGAAAAGGAATGACTTTACATGAGTACAGCAGAGTGGAATGATAGCAAACACCCTTCCTCCCCACAAACCCGGACCGTCCCTGAGAATCAGGCCTTTGGTGTGACGGATGAGAGGACAGGGGATTCAGTCCATTGTTGGCTCCTGGGAACTTTCTAAACCCACTAAAGCCAAGGGCCTCTCTAGCCAAACAGCGAGCATCTGGCACATAAGTAATAAGCCACTTGAGGAAAGGTCAACTTATTTGTAAGACCTTGAAAAGAACATAAGAAGGACTGTATCTTCTAACTGCTCTCGATTTGGGAAATTCTAAAATAGCATCACACATAGGAATGGCAGGAAACATGGATGCTAAGCAGGCACCTGTGTGAGACCTGCTTTGAGAGCTTTAACTCAGAGTATTCAGGCTTCCAAGCCACTGTCAACACTTAACCTGCAGGGCTCTGTTAGCACAGGGACATTATTAATATTTCTCACTTCTGAGGAGCACCAGGCCCCTTTTGCCCAAAAGAAGACAATTTTAAAATTATATGCGAGAGTGGTGTGTGTGTAGTTTATGCATTGCAGCAATCTTATTAAAGCCATGGAAAAGGGTAAATCTGTAAGGGTGTGGAACAGTGAAAATACCCACAGCAAAGGAAAAACTAATTTTCATGGGAAAGCAGGACGTTCATAAACAAAACCGTTAAAAGCATGGTCAAAAAGCTCCTTGGGACTGATGACCCCATTTCCAAGTAGAGTCACAGCCTTAGACAGAGGAAAATCATTCTTGGGAAGGGGATTAGTTGCAGAATGTACTGACATTCAGCTCCAGCCTTGAATTTCAGCCACATCTGCTATTCAGCTTTGCCTCTGGAAGGCTGAATAGGCAAATGCCTACTTCAGCATCACCGCAGGCGTCCCTGGGCCTGTGAGTGGTCAGTGGTCCCGGGAGTGTGTGCAGTTCTGTCTCGTCTGATCAGCACCATAACTTCAGAGACACATGCCATCTAGATTGACTGCTAATATCCGAATACGGACTTTAGCTAACACTGAAGGTTTATTCCTGCATTATACTATCAGACTTAAATTTTGACTACCAAAATGTTAATTATTGAAATTGTGATAATAATTTAAAATTCTGATAAGTTTTCAGATTTATTCTCATATCCTAAAAGTTCATTCTTTGATGTTGGGCTTCAGCCTTATATTGGTATGTTGATTTAGGTACTTAGTCATTCAGCCAAAATGTGTGATGTCTCTAATATTAATTAGCATTCTTAAAAACACTCGTGTTCATAGGCAACCATGATAAAATAGGAAATTTTCAGATTCCTGAAATAACAGAGAGCCCTGACACATTCTAATTCCACAAAGATCCAAGCCCAAGAGGAACATTTTTGTTTTCCACCCACATCTGACCTAAGACCTCTGAATCAGGGGATTTTACGCCTCTGTGGGCTCCAATACCACTCCCAAAACACTTCCTCCTCCCAGACTATAACCTCCCATTCTCCCCCTTATCACAGTAAGAATAAGAGAGTCCCAGGGCCCTATCTTGATGGTAGGTGAAAAAGGGATGTCAAATAATCAAAGGTTCCTCGTGTGGAGAACACAGATGTGTGTCCACAGAGCCCAGGCAGTAGATGGTGACTCAGAGACCAATCAGGTGAGTCATGTGGGGGACAACTGCTCACAACAAAGCCCCTCCTAGAGCAATCACACCCCTCACCAAGTCCCCCACCTCTGGTGAAGCTCTGCAGGCAGCTGCTTGTGCGTAGGGGAGTGGCATTGCCATGGATGCTGTTATATGTAAGAGAGTTCAGTCTCCTAAGCTGTTTAAATAAATCTCCAGCTGTGGCTCATGACGAGAGGAATAGTTCATTTTACTGAGGTCTAAGCTTTGGGTGAATGCAGAGATTTGGGGGAAGATTCCTCTAGCTAATATTTTCCTCCTTTCCTTCCCCAGGGAAGGAAGATGAAGTTAACCCTCCCAATCCGTCTTTCCCTGTAATCACTTGCCTTTTCCAACTGTTTTTTGTCTTACCTAATCAGAATTTTTTTTAAGGAAATGGTGGCAAAAAAGACACAAAGGTAACAAGGCTGGAAGCATTTGTAATGTACCAGTAAGCAGAAGTACCTAGAGCCTGGCTTGTGTTAGGTCTCAGCAGTCAGGAGACGTAAGGAGGTGCGGCTGGTTCCTAGACCCTGCAGCTTCCCAATCAAAGTCAATCAGCCAGTGGCCTAACCACACTTTGTTCAGAGGTTGTCAAAGAAAAGCATTCTCAGCCAGGCATGGTGGCTCACGCCTGTAATCCTAGCACTCTGGGAGGCCGAGGCGGGTGGATCGCTCAAGGTCAGGAGTTCGAGACCAGCCTGAGCAAGAGCGAGACCCTGTCTCTATTATAAATAGAAAGAAATTAGCCAAACAACTAAAAATAGAAAAAATTAGCCGGGCACAGTGACGTGTGCCTGTAGTCCCAGCTACTCGGGAGGCTGAGGCAGGAGGATCACTTGAGCCCAGGAGTTTAAGGTTGCTGTGAGCTAGGCTGATGCCACGGCACTCTAGTCCAGCCAACAGAGTGAGACTCTGTCTCAAAAAAAAAAAAAAAATATATATATATATGTGTGTGTGTGTGTATATATATATAGAGAGAGAGAAAAAATTAGCCGGGCATGGTGGTACACACCTGTAGTCCCAGCTACTCAGGAGGCTGAGGCAGGAGGATCGCTTGAGCCCAGGAGTTTGAGGTTGCTATGACCTAGACTGATGCCATGGCACTCTAGCCCGGGCAACAGAGCCAGACTGTCAAAAAAAAAAAAAAAAGAAAAGAGAAGAAAAGCCTTCTATCATTAAGGTAAAATGATGACAACACACAGTTCTCGACTACTAATTGATCAATTCTGATGGCTTCAGAGAAACAATTGTGCCTGGAAGAGAAATACTAATAAAGGAATGAAATAATCTTATAAAATTCTAGTGTGACGCATTATAAAATACTGGAAAAAAAGAGAAAAAGGCTCAAATGATCACATTTCTTTTTATAGTTCCCTTTTTGGAATTTCTGACCTCACAGGGCTTAGAAGACTTCAACTTCCTAAGCTCCAAGGAAAACAAAAGGCAATATATTTCTCATTTGAAATGTCATCCTTGGGATCTGCTGCACAATTATTAATGATTGGTAATTGGGAGAAGCTTAAACTTCTCATGTTTTTCCCGTCAAATAATAATTTACATTGAAGGAATCCATCCTTTGCCATCCCCCTGGACTCTATGTTCAAAGTGCAACATGAAAAACTTGAGAGTTCTCATCTGAACACCAGAGCGGCAGGCCACAACTGTACAAAAACCTGGAATTCCTCTCTCCGTCTTCAGACCTCAGAGTTTTGGCCTTCAGGGGCATCCCCAAGTAACACCTGGTGGCTCAGTTCGAGTGGAGCGTCTCCTCTAAACAGCGTTCTACTAGAGGAGGAGTCGGAGTCATAAGCACATCCAGGTAGCCACAAGGTCAAGAAACGCCAGTCTCGCAGCAGAGTCCCCCCACCCCGACCCCTGGTAGTTAGACACATGCAAAGCGAAAGGAAGAAAGTATCCCACGGGAGGTGGTGCTCTCCCAGATCCCCTCAAATTCCTAACCACAGCTTACCTTGGTACAAGGTGGTTGAACTTGTAAGAACTGAAGACCTCCTGGATCTTTTCTTCTACTTTTGCCTAGTAAGGATGCAGGAGGCAGGAGAGAGAAAACAAGTACAGATGAGACCTCTATCAACTTTTTCTTCCTATTGCCACAAATGCTTATTGGCTAGAATTACTTGGTGTGGTTTGGTACCTCATAGTATGTAAGACTAGATTCAGGGGTTCTTCTGGATGACAGGCTTAGGACAAGGGGGGAGGGAGGAGGGAGGGAGAGAGGGGAAGACAGAGACAGAATCCCCAGTACCATGCTGGCATCACAAGTGACTCCAGTAACCTCATCCATAACATCCAAACTAATGGTTTGGTGTTTGGCTCCCTGGCACCAATTAATTACCCAGGGAGCAGATGAAGATGGATACCTTTTGCTTGTGTAGGAGACCAGAATATGCCACCCCAAAATATGCCTCAATGGCATAAGAATTATTTTGAGCTGATTTTTTCTGAGAAACTACAGATACAACAGAAGCTCTGAAAACAGAGAAGTTACCCTTTTGTAAGGGAAATTTATATTTATAAAGGAAATCTCCATTTGCAAGTGTGTCTCCCTCTCTGTACCAGATGGGAGGAAAAACTAGACCACAAGAAACTCTTATCAATGGAGAAGGCACCTACTTAAATCTGAGTAACAAACCTTAGTCTTGTTTACCAAACTTTTCCTGGTCATCTCCCCATATTGAAACCACCCTCCAAAAACGGGGTACAAGGTGAGAACTATGGTAAAGGCCTAGCTAAAAATAATGATCCTAATTAGTCACCATCCCTGTTTGCTTCCCTCTAATTGCCACTCTGGAGCCACACAGCTGGTGGTCATAAAGATTCTTAACTTCTCCCCATAGCTGGTGTCCATAAAGATTCTTAACTTTCTCCATAGAGAACATCACCTTTTTGAGACCTAAAGGTAGTTTCTGAGATATCTTCCAGGCCCTGCATTCCAGTGGATTGGCTGACCCCCCCAGACCAGCGGCCCATACCAAGAAACCGACTCAACTGGAATTGTGACCCCCTGAAACACCACAAGAGATGATTTATACACTCCTATAATTTTGCCCCGATTAACAAACCTATTTGCCTAACCTTTGCCTGCCAAACTACCCTTAAAAAACCCTGTCTCCCCAATTCTCAGGGAGGCGGTTTTGAGAAATTTCTCCTGTCCCGGCTTAGTGCTATGTGGAATAAAGACTTTCTTTGCCATAAAACCTCCTGACTCAGCATATTGGCTTCTTGGGCAGCGGGCAAACGAACTTGGTTGGGTGGCAGCAATATCTGGCCTCCCCTACACTCTTCTTTGTATTTAATTGAAGATGCCATATAAGCTTGAGTTCTGGACCACCTCTTTCCCTGTTATTTTTCCCTAGGCATCTACCATGTATACATGAAATATACATATTAAAATTGTTTTTCTTTTGTTGATCTGTCTTTTATTATAAGGGTCCCAGCCTAATATTTAGAAGGGTAGAAGGAAAATGATTTTTTTTCCCTCCCCTAAACTTGAAAGATTTATTCTCGGCTGCTCTATGAAGTTGTTTGAGTGATCATTAACTGGCCACCCTCAAATACACAACTAGTGCTTGCCAAGGGTCATACTTCTCATTGCCAGATTGAACAGTTTAATAAAAATATTAAAGTCATCCAAGAGATTTATAAGAACTTCAATTGCTGAAACACTAATAGCAAATCTGTTCCTATGTCACACAGAGGACTCCACGGTCCCATAAAACGCAGGATCTCTGTGTTAGGTCCAGAGCCCAGAGAGACATCCGAAGCCTCAGGCGTAGCAAAATGCTGTTTATTTTGGGCATCTGGGTGGAGGCTGAAAAAAGCGTCCAGCCCAAGGGAGGGAAAAGCCTTGGGTTTTATAGAGGTTTTTTGGGGGGAGTAACACCTGCAGAGATAGGGGAGGGGGTAGCTTTGTCACTATTGGGGGGACAGGAATACCGGCATTGCTGTAGCTATCTGTGGTAGAAGTTAGATTTACAACCTCGGACCCTCCAGACTCCTGTGGTTTTTGTTTCACAGGCTTTATGATATTTTTTGGGTTCCCACTCTAAGTAAACCTAACACTCAGAAAGGTCACAAAAGAAATTCGACCACCTGCCTCCTCTGAAGACCACACTATAATGTGGTCCCACAGGAGAGCTCCAAGAAGGACGGGGTGTGGTAATGGGGGCAGGCTGGTTAACAGGACACAGAGTTTCACCTTTCTCCACATCCTGATCTCTGTAGTGAGGACTGTTCTTATAGAGATTTCCAGATACATAATAATCTCCTCCCTGGGAAGTTTCAAAAACGTGTCATTTATTTCTGGAGTTAGGAGTTAGACCTCCTAGTCCCTTTGACAAGTGTGCAAGAATTATCTGTGATGACAAGGGGGCAGTCACATGAATCATCTAAAATGGCAGCCAATCTAAATTTCATTTATGTTTGGTTTTAGGATATACTTTGATATTTGCCTTTGAACATGAATTTGAGGGATGATCTGGTTAAGACGTTACAATATTTCAAAAAAAAAAAAAACAGATTGAAGTCATCATGAGAATCTGACTCAGGAGGAATAAGTTGTCCCAGAATCCTCATTATCCTTTTTCCATTCCAGACACTCACACACAACTAAAATAAAGCACCAGCCTAATTGGAACACAGACTGCATTTCTCAGCCATGCCTTCCTTAGCTATAGGCTGAAGGGACAGAAAAATATACAAGAAACATATCAGATCATTAAATAAAGATTTGCCTATTATATACAGTTGTCTCATGGGGGATTGGTTCCAGGACCTCCCAAGGATACCAAAATCCACAGATGCTCAAGTCCCTGATATAAAATGGTGGTGTATTTGCATATAGCCTACATATAATACATCCTCCTGTGTATAGTCCTGTGTCACTTAATGACCGAGGGTACATTCTGAGAGACGCATCATTAGGTGGTTTCATCATTGTGTGAACATCACAGAGTGTAATACAAACCCAGATGATACAGCCTACTACACTCTTAGGCTACATAGTGTAGCCTGTTGCTCCTATGCTACAAACCTGTACAGCAGATTACCATAACAGCACTTGTAACACATGGCAAGTATTTGTATATCTAAACATATAAAAGGTCCAGTAAAAATACGGTATTATAATCTCTTGGGACCAATGTTGTTTAAGCATTCTGTCTACTGAAACATTGTTATGTGGCACATGACTGTACTTTAATTCATCTCTAGATTACTTATAATACCTAATGCAATGTAAATGCTATGTACATAGTTGTTATGTATATTGTTTAGGGAATAATGATAGGGGAAAAGTATGTACATGTTCAGTATTGATGCAATTTTTCTTTCTTTTTTTTTTTTTTTTAAAGACAGGGTCTCATGTTGCTCAGGCTAGTCTTGAACTCCTGGCCTCAAGAATCTCCCCGCTCTGCCTTCCAAATAGCTGGGATTACAGGCATGAGCCACTGGCTTTCAAATGTTTTCAATCCATGGCTGGTTGAATTCACAAATGCAGAACCCACTGCTAGAAATAACAGTACCGTCTGCACTCCCTGAGTTGATGAATTCCGAATGAAACAAAAATCAAATGAGAGGAAATCTCACTTCCTTTACCCCAGTACAGGCCTATTCAAATCCATGTGACTCAGTAACATCCCAAAGATAGTGGATTAGCCACCTTCTCCTCAGTGTCCTGACAACAGGACACCCAGGGAGAAAGGCTTCCAGTCCACAACTCCTTCATGAGAAGTCCCATCTTCAGCTCCCACTCAGGCAGCTTAAGCAGACAAGGAAAATGAGGTTTATTTCTAAACTAAGAAACCTGACAAAACATGGAAATATGTCATACCGCAAGTGGAAAATGCTTAAAATATTCCCAACATTCCCAACATAGTGTCATTTCTTTGGATTTCCTAATCATTTCTTTAGAATGAACAAGTGATATTCCAATGCAGTTAGTAATTGATTCATATCTGAAAATTCAAGTTATGAATTCTGATAAATACCTGAGTATTACAGGTCAGCCATTCATAATAATATTTTCTCTAAGAACTGGTGTTTTATTTCAAAATATTAAGGGGATACAAATGTTTTTCTTACATGGATACACTGTATGATGCTTAAGTCAGGCCTTTTAGTGTGTCCTCACCAGAACAGTGTTCATTGTACCCCACAGGTAAGTTTTTAATCCCTCACCCCCTTCCCTCCCTCCCCCCTTCTTTATATCTTTGTGCCTGTATATAGCCATCGTTCCCCTCCCACTTATAAGTGAGAACATGTGGTATTTGGTTTTCCATTCCCGAGATACTTCACTTAGAATGGTCTCCAGTTCCATCCAAGTTGCTGCAAAAGACATTATTTCATTTCTTTTTATGGCTGAATAGTACTCCATGGTGTATATAGACCACATTTTCTTTATCGACTCATGAAGTGATGGGCACTTAGGTTGATTCCACATCTTTCTGATTGTGAATTGTGCTGTGATAAACATTCGAGTGCAGGTGTCTTTGATAAAATGACTTCTTTTCCTCTGGGTAGATACCCAGTAGTGGGGTTGCCTCTTACCCATCACACCCAATCTCTTATCCTCTCTAGCTCCTGCTAACCACTAAGCTACTTTCTATCTCCCTAAATTTGCCTATTGTCAAATTTCATATAAATGGAATCATACAATATGTGGTCCGTTGTGACAGCATGTTTTCAAGGCTCGTCTATGTTGTAGCACGCACCAGTACTGTTTCTGTTACATATTTTTTTGTCAAATATTATTCCATTGCATAGATAGATCACATTTTGTTTACCAATTTATCAGTTGATGTATATGTGGGCTGTTTCCCTTTTTTGGCTATTATGAATAATGCATCTGTGAGTCACAGAAACCAGAATTCCTCTTCCCCAAGAGGCAGGTTTGCTGGGAACCAAGCTAAGCTTGTTAGAAATGTAAATTGTCAGGTAGTCTCACCAACTTATAGACTCGGGTGGGGGAGGGATCCACTCAACTGTTTTTAACAAGCCTTCCAGAGGATTCTGATGCA